TTGTAGTTGTTTTGTGTTTCTTTGAGGTCATTTTGTGTCTCTTTGTAGTTGTTTTGTGTTTCTTTGAGGTCATTTTGTGTCTCTTTGAGGTCATTTTGTGTCTCCTTGTAGTTGTTTTGTGTCTCTTTGAGGTCATTTTGTGTCTCTTTGTGGTTGGTTTATGTTAATTTGAGTGACATTTTGCAGGTGAAGGCCTGGGGGAGGCCCTGACACTTTGGGTCCCTGGGCCTGTCCCCAGTTGGCCCTTTCAATAATCCACCCTTTACCACAATGTAGAAACACTTCATTACTAGTTAAAGTTAGTCAGCAGTTAAACTTAGCATAAGTACCCAAGTTAAGGCGCTCACTATGCCAATGCCCGGTGCAAAGTCATACAATAGTGAAAAGGCATTTTAAGTTCATAGTTCATGTAAGTGCAGATCATTTTAACTACGTATGTTATGTCTGCCTATAGATTTTGGGTAATATCATCTGTAACTAATCATAGGGGTTTGTATGTAAAATCACAATCTGTGGAGGTAGGCTACTACCAGGTATACAGTATTTGTCTTTGGAATGTGTTGGTGTTTATAAAGTAGTATAACAAAGTAACACTCAAGTACAGTAAGTACCTCAAAACTGCACTTACATACAGTACTTTAATAAATATACTATATATACAGTACAGGCCAAAAGTTTGGACACACCTTCTCATTCAATGCGTTTTCTTTATTTTCATGACTATTTACATTGTAGATTCTCACTGAAGGCATCAAAACTATGAATGAACACATGTGGAGTTATGTACTTAACAAAAAAAGGTGAAATAACTGAAAACATGTTTTATATTCTAGTTTCTTCAAAATAGCCACCCTTTGCTCTGATTACTGCTTTGCACACTCTTGGCATTCTCTCCATGAGCTTCAAGAGGTAGTCACCTGAAATGGTTTCCACTTCACAGGTGTGCCTTATCAGGGTTAATTAGTGGAATTTCTTGCTTTATCAATGGGGTTGGGACCATCAGTTGTGTTGTGCAGAAGTCAGGTTAATACACAGCCGACAGCCCTATTGGACAACTGTTAAAATTCATATTATGGCAAGAACCAATCAGCTAACTAAAGAAAAACGAGTGGCCATCATTACTTTAAGAAATGAAGGTCAGTCAGTCCGGAAAATTGCAAAAACTTTAAATGTGTCCCCAAGTGGAGTCGCAAAAACCATCAAGCGCTACAACGAAACTGGCACACATGAGGACCGACCCAGGAAAGGAAGACCAAGAGTCACCTCTGCTTCTGAGGATAAGTTCATCCGAGTCACCAGCCTCAGAAATCGCAAGTTAACAGCAGCTCAGATCAGAGACCAGATGAATGCCACACAGAGTTCTAGCAGCAGACCCATCTCTAGAACAACTGTTAAGAGGAGACTGCGCCAATCAGGCCTTCATGGTCAAATAGCTGCTAGGAAACCACTGCTAAGGAGAGGCAACAAGCAGAAGAGATTTGTTTGGGCCAAGAAACACAAGGAATGGACATTAGACCAGTGGAAATCTGTGCTTTGGTCTGATGAGTCCAAATTTGAGATCTTTGGTTCCAACCGCCGTGTCTTTGTGAGACGCAGAAAAGGTGAACGGATGGATTCCACATGCCTGGTTCCCACTGTGAAGCATGGAGGAGGAGGTGTGATGGTGTGGGGGTGTTTTGCTGGTGACACTGTTGGGGATTTATTCAAAATTGAAGGCACACTGAACCAGCATGGCTACCACAGCATCCTGCAGCGACATGCCATCCCATCCGGTTTGCGTTTAGTTGGACGATCATTTATTTTTCAACAGGACAATGACCCCAAACACACCTCCAGGCTGTGTAAGGGCTATTTGACCAAGAAGGAGAGTGATGGAGTGCTGCGGCAGATGACCTGGCCTCCACAGTCACCGGACCTGAACCCAATCGAGATGGTTTGGGGTGAGCTGGACCGCAGAGTGAAGGCAAAGGGGCCAACAAGTGCTAAACACCTCTGGGAACTCCTTCAAGACTGTTGGAAAACCATTTCAGGTGACTACCTCTTGAAGCTCATGGAGAGAATGCCAAGAGTGTGCAAAGCAGTAATCAGAGCAAAGGGTGGCTATTTTGAAGAAACTAGAATATAAAACATGTTTTCAGTTATTTCACCTTTTTTTGTTAAGTACATAACTCCACATGTGTTCATTCATAGTTTTGATGCCTTCAGTGAGAATCTACAATGTAAATAGTCATGAAAATAAAGAAAACGCATTGAATGAGAAGGTGTGTCCAAACTTTTGGTCTGTACTGTATATATTAAACCACTGGTCATGTCTCTTTAATAATGTTTGCATGACTCATGTTTAGACATTAAAAAATAGAATATAATGCTATCTAACGTGACACTGACATGCATGTGTGACAGCGAAATTTATGAATCTATTTGTTGCCGTGACAGTACACATCCCATCCTCACACCGACCCCGGTAATAAGGGGGTGGGGGGGGGGGGGGGGGGGTACGATCACTATATCTCTATCTAGCAGCAGCTCCCAATCAGCTGAGCAGAGCGCTGAAAGCGGTCACATGTCTTATCTGGGTTTGTGTTTTTCCCCCTCCACGTGTCAAGATACACAGAGCAGAAGGCGGGACCAAAACAAACCATCTGATTGGTCCACGGCGTGTCACCAGCTTATGGTCGCGAGGAGGCAAGGAGGAGGACTGCTCTCTTAAAGGGCCAGCTGCAGTATTATTTTATTTCCAGCTCAACAACAATACAGCATGAGCTCGACATCTCATGCAGACACCAATGAAAATATGAGAGCTTTTATTATTTTTATGTTTATTTTGAATGCTATAGTTATTCAAGCAAGGATTAATTTGTCAAAAAATGGCACTAAACCATTAGAAGTAGTGGTGCTGTAGCTAAGTAAATGCACAAAAAGCACAAATTTGGAGTATTTGTTATTTATTTGAGCACTTCCGCTTGTTTCTTTATACATTTTATGACAGGTTTAGTTAGGCTGCTACAAAATAAAATTTTGCATACAAAACATAACGTGTGTACATGAGATATATGGATTAAAATACATAATACATAATAATACAGTGTCGAAAATATTTAAAATCAGCACATTTTGATCAACTTTAGCTGCAAAATGCTGCACATTATACGCAATAAATAATAAATAACATTTCTGAATCAGATGCTCTTACTTTGGTTTTTAAGTAATATTTTCAATGCAATAGGTGTTTTTACAGTGTGATATTACGACTTTTGCGTAAGCAAATGAGCAGTAGACTCACTCCATCATTGACCATTTGCTAAAATAGACATGTAAACGTATTTTTAAAGCGTTTAATATCGGTTCAGTGTGCTGTATTTGCATAACACTGTATCTGACTCTCTGTTCCTTTCACATTATTAAGAAGGGGCGGCTCCCAGTCACCGGGGCGGGCCGCTTTTTACACAGGGAAAAAAACAACCCCTCTCCAGTCAGCAAACATGTATGAGTGGCTGTAATGCAGAGGGATACAAGTCGCATCAACACAGTCCGTAGGAAACAAGGTAACGGCAAGTTGTCAAGATACCACCGATCACAACGGAAAACGCGTCTGCTGGCGGTGAGTGTAACGATCGTTCATTTTGAATTCTCAAATCGTTCCATCAGCACCGTCGCGTGCTGTGTTGTTTGTGGGAGTTTTGTCAACACAGCCCGGGCAGCTTGGGGCATGCCCGGGCAGAGACGGGGTGAGCGGCGGCGGACTTTTACCGGAGCTTGTGGCAGAGGGCATTTATAAATATATTTCTGTGCTGTTATTCACACCAGCGATGCGTCTTTTTGTTTTGTTTCAACGGCTGAAGTGAATTTAACGACGAATTCACTTGGTTGCATCCATCACCTATTCAACGCGCGCGTGCATTCTCAACGTCCCGGCTGATGCTGCCCGGTGTTTGGGACACAGCCGTTGGTGGGTAGCGTAGTTCTTTTAAACCATTAAACGATGCTAGCAGCTAATTAGCTTAACACCACAAACTGAAACGACTTGTGTTGTTTTATTTCACGCTTTAGTGACTTAATAGCTGAACGTATCGGCTGTAAACTCAGAGCTGTTTGTTTTGGGCAAGAGTTGTCAGGCGAAGTGGAGGAGAAAGTGTCAAACGGAGGATAATAATAGGAAGCCATGCGAGTAAAACTGTTGTAACACGTTAATTAAACGCTTCTAGTTTGTTACCGTTGTCACGACTAGCTTAATAATTAGCCCAAGAGTGTGGGTTAACTTTTATGTTTTTTTAAGCAAGAAAAATAAGTTTAAATCCACATTTTTTTAGGCTGTGGTTAGCACCATGTGTCAGCATCCTGTTTCGACAGGTTCCTTCATTAAAAGACGTCAGTTTGTGGATGTTATGTGTGCAATGATGAACGGCCGGACTCAGCTTGTTTCCGCGGTGAGCTGCCCAGGGCATTGTGCTCCTTATGCGGATACAGATGCAGCACATTCCCGGTGGTCTTCGGAAGCCCACTTATACACGATTTAAACAATTTTATTCTAAAATGTTTGCAACTTTTTTAAAGCAGTGCAAATAATACTTTTCTACCCATTTGGTGACTTAATTAACAACAAAAATGTAATAAATACAAAACAATCGGCTGTATTGGATTCTTGACATGCTCCTGCCTATTTCCAGTGATAGGTGAAGCAGGGTTCATGACTTCATTGTAGCCTGTCATTAACACACTGATAACCACAGGATATTATTTACACGAAGGCAGCAAGATAAATAGCAGCAGAGCTCACCTTGAGTGCACCCCCACCCAGAGTGCTGCATGGAGGAGAGCCCAGTGCACAGATGGTGCAGCAGAGGGAGCCACTTTCTGCTGCAGCTTTGAGCCTCTGACCAGCACTGTGGTGGCTGCCAGGCCTCCCTGCTGCCCCAGGCAGTGTGTGTGTGTATCAGTGTGCATGTGTGTGTGATGTCTTTCTGTGTGTCTCCCTGTCTATGTTTGTTTTTTATGTGTCTGACACTATGGTAATCTTGCCAGTCCTCTTTTGACTGCCAGTGGAAATTCAAGACAGGGCTCGCATTGCCATTGACACACACAAGTGCACATTAGTTCTGAGTGAAACTTGTGGCACAGTTGCAGAGATGCCCATATTGCTTGCATAGCATTAATTAATGTACTGTATCTTGCCTGGAGGACAAGTTAATGCAGATTAGGGCTGTTTTGAAATTCTGTAATGCACAACTAATTAGTGTGCAGTGGCAAAATGGACTGATTTGATGATTAAATGCCCCAGGAACAATGGAGACCAGTGTGTGGGTCAATATATTTTTTTGTTTACCAAAAGAGACTTACATGTTACAATAATGAGGCCTAGATAATTACAGTTTTTCCACAGTTGTTAAAAATGTTGTTTCCTCCTGTGACTCCATATGATATGACATCATGCTAAGAGACTCTTTCACAAAGAGATATATGACTGCGGCAGCCTCGCTCAGTAAACATAATTCCAGTATATCCAGTTTCAACTTTTGCATTTGCCAGTCAACCCAGCCCATTTGTCTCCACTCACACAACAAAAGGAAAAAGGCAGACACCCCTTGACAAAAAAGATGAAACACTAGTTCAGATTCTGGCATGTGGCCAAGCAGGAAGAGAGTGTGAGTGTTTGCGTTCAGCGGGCACAGTTTAGGATGGAGTGAAACTCGTTATCTCCGTCATGAAACGGCTGCTGCACGCAGCACATGACAGTCTAGCCAGGACTTTGGTTTCACTCACACACCACCCACTGTTGTGTGTGTGCGTTTACAGTGTGGACAGGCAGCTATCCAGTGATTGTGTGGTTGAGAGAAAGAAAGGGAACAACGAGCATAGGTATTAATGTTGAGCTGTAGAAATGTGCAGGAGGAAGCTAATCTCCTGACTGTGACTCTGCTCTGTGGCACACTGTTCCAGATTAAGGTAGTTGTGAGGGGAGGAAAAAAGCCTCTACGGTGGATCTTTTGGCACCCAATTACTATTTGGAAGGAACAGCTTGGCAAAATCTGCTGCAGGAGGGTGGCAGATTTGGCGTCTCATTTTTAGCTGCCCACCGGGTTCCCCTACACAGGGTGTCTCCATACGTTTGGCTCCTGTTGCTATTCATCACTATATTATAAGAGATGATAGCCACATCTTGTATGTTTACATTGGCAGATCCATCTGTGCTTCTGGGACTATCCATCTTTGCTTGTTTGTTTTCAGTATTACCCAACACAACATTAGCCTCGCACTGGGCATTATAATGACTAATGATTTATTTTTATTTAATGCAGACATGGTGAGATAATTTTGGATCTGCCAGAGAGCAAAGTTTCCACTAATAACAGAATGATATTTGGCACTTTTTGTTTGGTTTTGAAACAAATCACACCCAAATTACTGGCAAAGTAAAGATCATGAACACATAGGTATGAGTCAAACACAGTCCCATAAATATGTTTCTTATTTACACAACCAAAAAGTTTTGAACACTTGTCATCTCATTCTAAAGTTTCCATCTCGTGTCCCCTTCTCGTCTCCAGGGAGTTTACCGCTGAGGCGTCGGATGGATGATGAGGAGGAGGACATGTCACGGCCCATCTCGCAGCTCTGGGGAACGCCCTTTAGGGACGTCAAATACGAAGACCGCGCCACACAGATCGCGGCCGGACAGGCTCTTGTCGCCGTCACCGCTGCCGTGCCAGCGTCGCAGAGCCACAACAACAACAGCATCGGCATCAACACGCTGCCCTGCAGCTTGCACCGGCAGCCTCGCATACCCTTTCACGGTAAGGAGGGGTGAGGTCATGTGAGCCTGCTGATGTACATGCAGGCTTATGTTCAGCAATGTTGTACGTCAGCCTCAGACTGTTAGTCACTCCTTTTATCTGGCGGGTAATCACTGGGACCTGTCCTCAAAGATCTGAGTGGTTAAACCTGTCAATCTGATTTGAGGAGTGTCAGAGAGGATGAGAGCGAGAGGCTGGTGCTTTCTTTGTTCTCTGGCTATTAGATGAACTGAACTCCATTTTGAAATATTATTACTGAAAAACAGATATGCTTAGAAATTATTTTCCTTGTGGCTGGGAGATTCCCTTGTCCTATTACATGCATGCTGACGTCCTGAGGAACATGCCATCCTAAGAAGGAAGTTTGTTTACTGTGCAGATATGCTTTCATCTCTACTAATATTATTATTATACTATCATTCCAACCACTGTCTTCTTCTTTGTTTTGCATTTTAAATGAGCATTTCTTGAAAACAGACGTCACTAATTTCATACATACATAAAGGCGCATTCCCATGCTAACTTTTAATCCAATATTGTCCTCCCATCCCTAATCAAATCAGTGTGACATCACCCTAATCGAATTGAACGAATGTTGAAGTAGAATGTTGTTTGTTTGTTGACTCAGTGTCAGCGTGTGAGAGGTACACATTGTCCTGGGTTTAAAGTCATCAATACATAAACACCACTGACAGTTATTACCTTGTCGTTCATTGCAATCTGCGCAGTAATGGATGTCATGCACTTGGCCCGCTGCAATGTCTTCTCCCCAAACAAAGTCCAGGGTGCTCAAGTTTTTTTAAGATATATTATGGTCCTCTGTGAGACTGAATAGCGGGGCATTCTGCACACATGATAACAAAAAAAAAAATGTTTTCCCTCCAAGTGGCATGACTGCAGAAGCACATGCTAGAGGCGATGAGTAAACTCAGCGACAGACAGAAAGATAGCAGTTCACTGAGGCTGTTGTTGATTTAATAAGGTGTTTGAGTTTTCCCCCGACCAACACTCTCCCTCTTTCTTGTTTGTGGATTCTTCAGTTGTACTTGGAGTGCCTAGCTTGTAATTTGTCCCTCTGAGATCTGATAAAACCTGTTTGTGTTTCACGCAGCAATATAACAGCAGTGTATAGTAGACACTGTGTATTTGACTCAGCTGGTCGGACATAGCTGTGTTTGAAGCCATTAATAGTAATCAAGATACTCGGGCTTATGTGAAGACGGCCTGCAGAGTGTTTTCTGAGGTTTGCTGAAATCACAAAGTAGAACAGAAGTGGTTTTACTGAACTGAGATCAGTAATGTCTCTTTGCCTTATATTCATCTTGGCACTGACACTGACATCTTGGTGTTTTAGAGATCCAACAACAGCAGCAAGTTTTAAGAAGCTTGATGTTTCCCTTTTAGGCAACGCTGGATTACGCTCACATTTCCCTGCTCAGTTTGAGCCCATGGAGGACCGGGGAGAGAGGCAGATTGAGGAGGAGGAGGAGGAGGACAGAGGGGAGGAAGATGACAGGATGGCAGAGAGGCCCGAGGAGCAGGCGGGGGTGAGCGTCGAGGTGCAAATCGGTCGTAAACTTCGGGAGATCGGAGACAAGTTCCAACAGGATCACGTTGAACTGGTAAGCCTCTCATCCCCAAGCAGTGAAGTGGATCCTTAGATGACCTCCCACGTGTCCACAAACACGTGGACTAACATTGCCTCAAAGAAGAAGTGGATGCTACCTAACTAAATGCTCTGTTTGGCTGTTAAGCATCTGCTCGTGCATATCACAGAGACAAGTCAGCAGCATGGGACTGTGGGTCCTGGGTTACATCCACACAGATACATTTACACCTAGCATCTCACTACTCTGGTGTTTTGAATTCCTAAAAGGGAGATCCTTGAAAACACTGCTGACCCTGTTTAGTTTCAAATCTCAGAGGTTGTGTTTTAGTCAGTCGAAAACGGTGACCTATGGAAATGATGAGGCAGACACCCTTGTTCGCTTCCTGGTCTTATCAGTCACAGCTTGTTAAGTCAAAACATTATAGCAAGGTCTACATACCTGTTGTGATTTCATCATTCTTGTTTGAGTATAGTATAGTATAGCTTCCTCTGGCAATGGTACCACTCTTATATACTGCTGTAATTGCTTTGTAATGACTCCCAGTCTGTTTTCCGTCACCTTGACTGTCATAGTCATGTTACACATTAACAGTTCAACTCACTGTCGGTCAGAGCAAATATACCGCTGGTCTTGCTTTGCGCCATCTCTGTAGTATTCTCTGTAACTAAGCACCCAACCACAGTGATACACACATGCCTAGAGTATGTAAATGGTCATGTCATAAGCATTTTCAGGTGTGCTAATATGAACAGAGATAAATTCTGAAACAATGCTTAAACGCTCATGTGTAGAGAGATCATTTTCACTTTATAATGCCGCCTCTTCAACTCTCGTCTTAAACGACATCTTGTTGACTTGACACAAAGAGTTCGTCTTGGTGTGTTACATGTGAACTCTTTATGCTTGTCAGCTTTTACTTGATTAGAGACACAAGTCAGATCTGCCTTGTGCCAATTTGTGGCTCAATCTTGGGAAGAAAGGGGGCAGAACATTTTGCCAGCTGGATTGGCCACAACCCACATTGGAGATAAAAATAGCCCGCGCAGTGATTCAACCACTTTCTTGGCCAAGCTGAAGGAAAAAATCCTAAATCACTAATAAGGCACGATTTAGTAACTTCATACATACAGGGTACTAAACCTACAGAACTAATGTGTACTCAGTAGCTGTAGGAATAGATTGTGACATGAGGCTGTTGTACAAACACACTTTCCCACTGACATTATCTAAATATTGATTCTTAGTTTGGCTCTTTGGTCAAGGTCATGTTTGTCTTCTAAACTACTAAAACTGGACCTCAGTCTAAGCAGAGGGTTATACAACACTGTGCCAGTACTGCGTAAGTGGTCAGTGATACCATGTCATTACAGTCAATAGGAATAATATGTTTCGTGGTATATAAAGACAGAAGAAAAGAAAGTAATCCATGCCCTCATCTGTTTGAATGCTCCCGATGCGCTTAGAAAGAGCAGATGAAATGACATCCTCCTGCAATTTCCTTCATCCCTTTGTCTCCGCTCTGTAATTTAAAAGATAAAGTGTTTGTTACTCGGCGTCCTTTACCTTAAAGCAGACATCTTTATACTGAACATATACCTCATGAAGCATGAAACAATTTGGGACTTGTAAAGAGATGATGAAGGTAATTGAGCGTGCAGCCTTGCAGTTTGCGGAGCTCCCGAGGGAATATTCCGCACACATACCTTTTTCTAGACTACAATATGTGGTTAATTGTGCATATCAAGAAATAAAATCCACATGGCAAACAAGCTAGGAGTTGTGTCACAATATTACACATGACAACATGTTCCAGTGGCAATCTGCCGCCTCGTTTTTTGGCATGATTCGGTGTCACAATATGTTTGATAACAGGTCCAGGGGGTATCAGTGTTTGTAAAGCAGTTACTGAGAGTCCACACAAGTCACGTGATTATGAACTTAGTTAATAAGTACAAATATACTGGGAGTGGTATCGTGTTTTCTTATCTGCAGCTGTGACTGTTTTGCCAATGGGGGTCTGTGTCGACAACAAGGTGTGGTTGATAAGTTTTGAAAAACACTTAACTGTGCGGTTAATGGAGACGGAGGGAGTAAATAGAGTGAGAGACAGAGTAAAAACAAAGTGATATACGGCGACAGACTTTGACAGACACTGTAAAGAGATTGAGAAAGAACAGGTGAGATCGATGTGACCGTCACAAACAGGAGTGAGCAGCATGTCTGTGTCTGGGTAGACTTGGCCGGCTGTTTATACGCCGTCTAAAAATAGAGTCTGACTCACGGCTACCCACAATACCTCAGTTGTCCCGCTGACTGCCTCAGAGTGTGTGCATCTTTGTGTGTGTTTTTTTGGTTTGCGTGTGCAACTCTATGACAGGGAGATAAGAGAGAAAATTTTCTTTTTTGTCTGCTGTCTGCACTCGAGTCGGTTTTATCCTGCAGGATCTGATACTGCTGTTGTAGGAATATTCCAAAGGGAGAATAATCACAAATGATCCGTTATGATATCTAGTCACTTCTCCTGTATTGTGTCTGCTGCTATTGTTAAGACTTCTGCCTAGCCAAGCAGAAGTTGCTGGTGTGGGCTAATGTGTGGGTTTTTGTTGAAGTGAAGTAGATTGTATTTGTGGTTTGAGTCTAACACGTGAGTTTTGACTACTTGTGTGGCAAATAAAATGCTAACACTGTCAGGGAGAAAAAAGTTAATCCATACTAACACTGAGTGAAGGAGCAAACACGGATGTTGTCAGTTTTCTTAACCGTTTCGGGAAGCATTAACCTAGAAAGGGCAAGCAAAATACACACCATTCTCCACTACCCACGCAAATGACAGCAGAAAGAGGAGCCTCATGTGGAACAAACCAGGGTACTGTTTAAATAAGCTCAGCAGTGTAGAATTAAGGCAATTAAGGACAATTAGGGTTACATTTAGCGGTGCTGGTTCAATTCAGTTCAGTCTGCTAGTTTTGCATCAAATAGCCTGTGGCGAACTCTGATTGCTGGGCTGAAAGAGACCTTGATGGAGAGAGCAGAGCAGAGAAAGAGGGAGATCGTAACATGAATGCTTATGCAACAGGCTGCAATATCTGAGCGCGGCTGTTCAGAGAGCCAGTGGGAGCTGTGCAGGATCAGAGATGAGGAAGGGGGGGGAGAGAGAGGAGATTGCAGGCTGCAGCAGGAACCCCTTCATCTGTCTGTAGTCCAGGCGGGCCACACAGCCCCCCGATAGAAAATGACAGAGCCGGGAGAAAGGCAGCTCCATAGGAGGGAGCAGTTTCATTTTCCTTTGGCTTTGTTTTGATAATTATTCAGCTGACTTCGCTATTACAAGAGACTCTGTGATGAAATAGGCAGCGCGTTCTCTGAAAGCATTTCACTTTGAGGCTCTTGTTTAGAAGTCAACAGCGCAACATTTAACAAGAGGGACTGTCTCGAACCTCAGGGAGGATAGAGTGATACTATGATGATGAATGGCAGCTCCTTTGGGCTGTTTCACTGTTGTTAGCCTGGTCATTTTCATCCTTTCATCACACAGCTAAATCAAGTATTACAATTAGCTTCTGTGTGGGGATGAGAGTCCCTAAGAAATCAGAGGGCCACTTCACCCGATACTGTGTGTTCTGCAGGGTATGCGTGTGACAGACATGTTTGCTAGACACAAGCTAATGTTGTGGAAACATCCAGTCTGCTCTGTCACATGGTTTGAGCTCACAGGGTTTACCACAGTTCACAAGGCTTTACTTCAAAAGCCTGTTATGATGAACTCTGATGCAGGGAAGTAATTTTCACCACTGACATGATGAAAGTCTGATCAGCAATGTAGCTGTGAGTAGGGATGTCACTTTTTCAGTTAGGCTAATTCGGCTTTCAGTAGCCCGACACTTGTTAACTGCTAACTAAGTTAACTCTTATTATTGGAAAGAAAAGAAACAACGCAACATGACGGGCAAAACAAGGCGCACCATTGACTCTGAGCTTTAGTTTTGCATTTCAAAGTGCTACCCATGCCCACTGCCCACCCTCCACTCTCCACTGGTTAGCTAACGTTAGCTCTGGACTGCACACCACCTGGGTCGGGTGGGAACTAGCTAGCTAGCGCCTCTGGTCCCAGTGGTGGGAAGACATTGCTGCACAAGCATGATTGCCACCCTTTGATCCCTCCCCAGGTAGCCCAGTGGATAAGCGGCTTCATTTTGAGCTGCAAAACCCCTTTAGCATTGTTAACTATGTTAGCACCACTAGCTGTGTTGACACTGCTAACGGTGCAAACAGTGGTAACATAGTTAACAATGCTAAAGGGGGTTTCTAGCTGAAACTTGAACCACTTACTCATTGGGGCAACCTGGAAGGACACTAGAGGGTGGGCACAATGTTTTCACAGCAACGTGGTTGGATTGGGATAGTGTGACTAGCGGTAATTGTCGAAAGAGCAGCTAGCTTTTACCAGACCTTGATGGTGCGCAGTGCAGTAAACTGATGAGTATCAGAATTAACCTATAGACAAACATGCATAAAATGTCAAAAATATTCTCGGCGGTAAACCGTTGACATCCCTATTTGTGAATTAACACGCCCTCCCTGATGCTAACAAACTAATGTGTAATTTTTTTGTCTCGTTGCAGTTCCTGAGGCATCAGAGACAAAACCTGCCTGCCTGGATGCGCCTCACGATGGCCCTGTTTGGCTTTCTGTTTCCAAGAGAGGCTCTCTTTCCCCGCCTGAGAGGACAGCAGAGATGAAGGGGCTTCCTGCCGGCCCTTGCCTCAGCCCTTGTTTTACCCCGACAGGAACAAGGGACCAGACTTTTTAAGAGATGGCACTGTAAGATGGAACACGGGTTTGGATTTTGTTTTCTAATTGAATACGAAGATGAGATGAAGAAAACACTGGTCACCGCTGGACGGAGACTGATTACAATTTTTCTTAATTTTTTCTTTTTTTCTTTTTTCTTTTTTTTTTTGTTTTTTCGCCTCTCCAAGAAGAAGCCATTGCGTTTGAAGAGATATTTTCGAAATATTTGTAAGATTACCTATTTTGTACAGTAGACTGCTCTTTTTTTTTTTTTTTTGGTATTTCAAGTCTTGAAGGACCTCCATCAGTCCAGGGAATGCCTTATTCTCTCCTGCCACAGTACAACTCTTTTGCATCAAGGAAATCATTAAAAAAAGAGATTCATTTTTTTTTAAGATTAGGCCACTTTTTTTTGGCGACAAACTGTGGACACGAACATTTCTGTGCTGAAGTTACTGACTTAAAACCTTGAGGACTCGAGGCACATTTCTAATTTATTCAGAGAAAAACAATAAGCCCTGTACTTATCCTTTACTGTTCCACACTGGCTAATTTCAAAATGGTGGTCATGACATTGTGGCGGTGCTACACACTGGTGTTAGTGTTGCACTGTCGGTCAGTTTAGATGTTTTGCCAGCTTCCACTGTAGACGTAGGGACATTTTATCAACCTGTGTCATCTGTCAGCCTCTCCATCTCCAGTACCACTCATGTTGTTAGAAGTGGCTTAAAGACCCACTGTGTAGATCCAGATCCTGTTGATTTAAAGGATGAACATGTATACTTGAATGTAGGTGTACTGAAGACATTGTAGTCGAGTAACTTCAATACCTGACATTATCGTGATTACTGTTTGAATTTGTGATCATGTGTATGTAGGAGTGCGTGCTTACTGTTTCCAAAATCTGCAGTCATTTTAAAACCAAATAAGCACAAACAAGTCTCCTTTGTGGGATCACGATCAGGGAACTGGAAAAAACAATCACACAGCTGAAAATCTTTGGATGAGTTTCATCGTTTTTCTGAAGCTTTTCAGTCTTTCTTTCTCTGGCTGGATTGACAATCGCAATTTTGCCCTTTGCTGCATTGTGTGGGTCGCCCGTGAGAGAGATGACATTTTATCAGCGTTTTTAGGGGCGAGCAATATTCAAGCCAGTGGAAGGATGTTTTTTTTTTAAAAAAAAAAAAAAAAGAAGAAAATCTTAGGGATCTGTTGCATTTGCAATCAAACTGACAACCATAGAAGGAATGTTTCCCAAAATATGGCTGTGTTCTCAATGAAATACACCTCTTTACAAATTTCTTTGTTACAGAAACATTTTGGGTTAAAGGGTAACTTTGGTATTTTTCACTCTGGATCCTATTTTCACACATTTTTGTGTCTTAGTCACCAAAGGGTACAACAATATTTGAGCAAGAGGCTGCAGCATAACCACTCAGCATTTCTGCATTGGCACTGCCCATTTACATCCACTAAAAGTGCTCGTTTGTTTGCCACCAACAGAGTCGGATTGTTATCGTTAGTATCTCACATGATTATGGAAAAGATCCCGAAGGGGGGAGACCGTTTTATCAAAGAGTAAGATCCTTTTTGTTTAACCATCACCAAACCCACCAGGCTCCATTTGAATAAATTGAAATTTTATCACTGTATAACACACATTATTCAAAGTCAACAGAAACTAAATAAAACTCACAAAAGCTGCCTTAGCTCATCATCTTTCCGCAACAGTCACTGACTCTGGTTTTGTTGAAATAAAACCATTATTCACCCAGTTAGATGTGAAAATATACTGACTCTATACAGGCTTAAATTACTGTTTTTTAAATGGAGTCTGGTGGGTGTGATGATCGAGATGTCGGGGCTGTTTCTGGTTGAATAAAAATGATCTTACTCTTTAATTAAAAGGTCTATCTCTGTTGGGATCCCTTCCATAATTATGTCAGACACATAAAATAATAATCTGAGCCTGTCAGTGGCAAAGAAGCACTTTTAGTGACAAAAACATGGGAAAATAAGGTCCAGGTTGAAAAGTACCAAAGTTCCCCTTTAAAGTTACTGAGATGCATTTTTATTTTATTTCACTCCAGGTGTAAATGTCTCGAGCACTGGTTCAATCCCAGCGTGCTGATACATGTATGTATCCACCTTTCATTCAAGTGCTTTGTTTCACCAAACTGCCAGTGGTACACCCAGCTTCACTGAGGACTTAGCTTCTGTACAGTTCAAGAACCGTTTTTTTACGGACACGGACACATTTGGGTATATAGGAGAAAGCTTATACACCCTTTGTGACAACTGCTACGTTAGCATGTTGCGACAACACAGCCACTGTTTCTCCATGTAAGGTTTATCAAGGAAATAGTCTGTAAGGACTTTAAATAATAAGATGTTAAAAATTCCTCATTTTATTTCAGTCTGTTGTAGATTCATGATATGAACTTTTGAAGACACTGATGGGTTTTTTTCTTTATGTTTTCTTCAGGGAGTAGTTAAAAACCATGTAAATTACCTGATGCTTATTATAAATTGCAAATAATCTGCCTCTGAGTGAGGACAATGCAGCGCAGACGATGCTGCACAAGCAAAGAGATATTTCATTATCAAAGAATATTCACTCAACATCAACATGGAAGAGTGTTACAGATTTTATTTTGTAACAACATGAGTAGCTGAACCAAAAGTTTGTTTCCTGCAAACAATGAACGCTGAGCCAATTCAGACAGTTGTGACGCACTCTCTGGTCTGCAGTCCAAAGCTCTTTTACCGAACGCCATGGTTAACTACTCCCTGTCCTTATCGAGAACAAGTTTCATTTTGTTTGGTTTTCTTTTTAGATAATTTATTCTAATTTATTTTGTGTATATTTGCTCAGTGCTACTGTATAGATGCTATCTCAGTGTGTACAGTCCTTTTCTTCTCGTTGTTGATGCGCATTCAGTTGTGTGTTTGATGCCTGTGTGTGGGGAGGTTGGACTAAAGCCATGTGCCTCGTGCGTCCTCACACAAATGGTGTGAGTCTTTACAAATCACGTGAACAAAAACAGACAATCAAATGTACAAAACGTGCCTTGTGAGTAACAGACCTGCCACATCATCACCGACACTTGGCATAATTCCCCCAAAGTCACTGGTCAACGCTCTCGTTTCACTCGGGCCCTGTGAGATTAACATGCTCTGGCGCGATGGAGTCGGCACAAACAGTACGGCGTGTTCGTTGTGCCTTGATACAAACAAAATCTGTTTCACGAGGCACAGGCTCAACCTTTGACATCTCTCAGCACGAATGGCGAGTTTCACCACGCTTCTTAATATCAGAAACGACTGTTTGCAATCAATGTGCACTGTAAAAAAACAAACAACATTTTTTACCTGTATACTGTATTTTGCGCCTCTCTCTTTCTACTCCTGTGCTGAACTTCCCCTCTAGAAACTTTTTAAGATCTGTAATATGCTGGATCGGCCCGGCTCGTCTGGGTTTTTGTGCTTTATTATCTACAATCTAGTAGGGCTGTGGGTTTCTGTTTGAAGGAGGAATGAGCCACCATGGTGCCCAGTATTATTTGTATGCGAGACGGGTTGAACAGCCATCGGTCGCTGTGGTGTTGATCTGAGCCTGTTGTTACCAACCACTCTTGCAACCCTGACTCAAGTGAAACATTTGTTATTCGTTCAACCTTCAGTGTCTTTAATATCAAATTTCTTCGATCGGTTTTTTGAATATCCAAGAAAGAGTGCATCTTTACTGTCAAGTGCTGTGATTTGGTGTTTTTTATACATTAGACATGAATTTGACACAGCTATTGTTGCTATCTTTATATAAAAAAAACACACATTTTTAGCAAAAAATTTTCCATATTCTTTTGTAAGAAGACGAAGAAAGAACTACAACAACACGACTTTTTTGCTTTTCTATGCTTTTTTTTTTTCCAATGTTGTGGCATTTTTAATTTTGGATATTGCCAAGTCTGCCGTGTCACTCTCAGTTCAAGGGCTTTTTTCGATATATGTAAATGGAGTAAAAATGCATGTCCAACATTCCTGAAAAAAATCTGTATCTTAAGGGTTTGAATGTAATTTAATGGAGTGAAAACCACGATATCTCTTTTAATACATGAACTGAACAGTGGAACTTATTTCAGACTCTGGCGCCGTGTGCGCGGCGAGTTTGTATTGTCTTCACATTTCTTTCTTTACGTTCAGAGTGGTCTCAAGGATTTCACACTCATGTGTCCTAATGAAGTGAGACCCAGTCCAGATGTAGCAGTTTTTGTTAAAGCATTGGCTGTGTTATCTTTGGGACTGCTCTGTGTCTACTGCACAGTTTTCAAACAGCGCAGGACATGAAGCGATGGAGGGAACGGAGGAGGATGGGGGATGTTTGTTCTTTTTCTAGTGCAATATGCTGTACATAAGAGCTTGGCTCTCGAAATCTTACAATTTCTCTTAATTTCTTCTGTTGTTAAATGGGTACATTGCTGTTTTGTTTTGTTTTTTTCATTAAAACTTTATGGACAATTGAAATGGCTTGTGCTTGATTTCGTTTACCAAACACACACACACAGTTTTACTCTCAAAAACAGCAAGAAAAACACATTGGTAATTCTGTATTAATTTCATTCCAGTCCACACAAAGTGTCTTAAAGGGACAGTTCACCCCAAAATCAAAAATACATATTTTTCTTCTTACCTGTAGTGCTATTTATCAATCTAGATAGTTTTGGTGTTGCTAAGTATTAGAGATAATGACCATAGAGATTTCTGCCATCTCTCAAATATAATGGAACTAGATGGCACTCGGCTTGTTAAGCATCAACAAAAGTACATTTGAAGAACTTTTGGCATCCTCCTTGGCTAAATGTGACGTTAGTTAGCTAGCTCGGTGCCATGTGAGCTAGCAGTAGATGTACACTGATACAGTTGTCAGGTGTAGTTCAGTGGACAGAAAATAGTTCCTACATGAAACTGCTCACAACAAGGTCTGTGGATTATCTTGAGTAACCAGGTCATGATTTCTAGAAAAAGACATGAGTATTGAGTTTGTCAAATGTATTTTTTTTTGGCACTTTGAGCACCACAAGCTGAGTGCTGTGTCGTTCCATTATATTGGAGAAAAGGCAGACATGTCTAC